CCTAGAATGGGATTGTTTTCCATAACACAGAAAGGGAGGGAGGGTTTTGAGCAGGGACAGTTGTGCTCTGCAATGACCACTGAGGACAGCAAGTACGAGGGACAATTATATTGCACAATGACCACAGGGAAGTGGCCACACCAGTCATATTGCTAACCACGGATAAGTAGCCTTCCTGCCCCAAACTCCCTCCTTGGCCCTCAATCACAGCACCAGAAAGGAGGGAGCCCTGCTGATGCAACCTCTCTCCACGCACCTCCCCCATCCTGGAGCACTGCCAGCCTGGGTAGCACAGCCCCACTCCTGCCCAGGAGGAACACTGGCTGGCTGGCTGGCCCACCTTACCCAATCACAGTTTTGATCAGTATACTTGGACTGCTGCTGTGTCTCTAAGCAAATCTGTCTCTAGTCCCAAGAGAGCTGCTTGCTTGGAGGTATCACTACCTATCTTAGTTTAATGTTTCATCTTTAGGGTCCTGTTAAGTATGTAGAAACGCACTGAAGACTACTCAAGTTTATTGATGTCTTCTATCATCTTTCACTATTAAATCAAAAATCAATAGAATCTCTTCCCCTAAAGCTTCCATAGGAATTAAGTTAAAGCCACTCCCGACTTAAACAGAATCCTAAGTACTTAGCACCTTAAAGACTAACAAAACATATAGGCTACGTCTACACTGGCAACTTCTTGCGCAAGAATTCTTTTGTGGAAGAGTTCTTGTGCAAAAACTCTTCCAGACGAGTGTCTACACTGGCATGTGCTTTTGCGCAAGAAATGTGCTTTTGCGCAAGAGTATCCTTGCCATTGTAGACACCCTCTTGCGCAAGAAAGCTCTGATGGCCATTTTAACCATAGGGCTTTCTTGTGCAAGAAATTCATGTTGCCTGTCTACATTGGCCTCTTGTGCAAGAACAGTTACGCAAGAGGGCTTATTCCTGAGTGGAAGCATCATAGTTCTTGCGCAAGAAGTCCTATTTTATACAGTACTTGTGCAAGAACACGTGGCCAGTGTAGACAGACAGCAAGTTTTTGTGCAAGAGCAGCCGCAAGATCGCGCGTGTAGACACAGCCAGAGATGGTATCATGAGCTTTTGTGGGCACAAAAGAAGTGGGCTGTGCCCACAAAAGCTCATGATACCATCTACATGTTTTGTTAGTCTTTAAGGTGCTACTCGACTATTTAGGCTGCGTCTAGACTGGCATGATTTTGCACAAATACTTTTAATGGAAAAGTTTTTCCGTTAAAAGTATTTGCGCAAGAGCGCGTCTATACTGGCATGTGCCTTTGCACAAAAGAGTTGTTTTTGTGCAAAAGCATCAGTGCCAGTGTAGATACTCTCTTGCGCAAGAAAGCCCCGATGGCCATATTAGCCATCGGGCTTTCTTGCGCAAGAAATTGGCTGTCTATACTGGCCCTCTTGCGCAAGAATACTTGCGCAAAAGGGCTTATCCCTGAGCGGGAGCATCGGAGTATTTGCGCAAGAACCACTGATTTTGTACAGTACAAAGTCAGTGTTCTTGCGCAAATCCTTGTGGCCAGTGTAGACAAACGGCAAGATTTTGCGCAAAAGTGGGCACTTTTGCGCAAAATCTTGTCAGTCTAGACACACCCTTATTGTTTAAGTTTTTCCTATTACAGACTAACTCGGCTACCCCTCCGAAGCCTAAGTACTTGGAAAGGATCTTCATTCAGAGTGTCGAAGCAAAAACACGCTCCTCTCTGTTTAGGCGGCTAACAACTGATTTGCTTTATTGATCAGTAAAGCAAAGTGAACCATACGTGGTCCCAGCAAAGTCGGGCCCAGTAAAGCTGCTAATACAATCAATCCTAGTATCTTTATACCCTTAGCCAAACAGTCTGACGTCAGGGCATCCAATTACAGAAATCCTCAATTAAATTTGGAAAAAACAAAGCCTTATCAACAAGATGGCGGACAGGTACGAGGGAGTACATCTCCTGTCCCAACCAGCCCAATTAACACATACCAATAGCCCATCCTGTAGGCCTCTTCTCACGGGGTGACAGAAAGTTCACTCTGGTCTACGTGCTTGAGAGAAAAGCTGAAATGGTTTCTGATATACAAGATGGCTTCTAGCTAAACATAAAATAGCTTCTACAAGAGTGACCACTGTCCTTCTCCAAAATGCAAGTCTGTATGTAGTTATCATGACTCCCTGCTTGTCACTATGGGTATGTCTACACTACCCTCCTAGTTCGAACTAGGAGGGTAGTGTAGACATACCCATAGTGACAAGCAGGGAGTCATGATAACTACATACAGACTTGCATTTTGGAGAAGGACAGTGGTCACTCTTGTAGAAGCTATTTTATGTGGGGATTTAAAAATGGCGGCTCCCCGCTTATGCTAATGAAGCCCAGGAAATTCAAATCCCGGGCTTCATTAGCAAGTGTGGTATGCATACATTACCCCGTTAGTTCGAACTAGCGGGGTAGTGTAGACATACCCTAACAGTAGAAATGAGGATCCATGATGCTTTCACCTTAAGAATAAATGTATTTGTGTAGAAAGAACTGTGTAGTAACTTGGGACTGCATGGCCTTTGAACTGAAAGCAAAGCATAGATGTGGACTTGTTTAAGCAGTGTGGTTTGCTCATAATATCACAGAGTAGGCAGGGAAACATGCAGCCTAGAAAAATCCCTGGTCCGAAGAGAAGGGAGAGAGACTTGTGTCTCCACCCAAGACAAGTGACAGCTGTAAATTGGGAGCCACTCTCAATAGGTCTGTAGTAAAGGCACAGGTGGTGGTCTGGTTGCTACCATATCAAAGTTTGAGTTGTATGGCTATGATCTTTCTTCCTCATAATGCACTGACAAGATTACTATTCCAGAACATAGGAACAGCATCTATATAGGGGCTGTTTGCAGCTTTGTGGTCTACTTGCCTGTGCAAACGTGAAGTCCTACTCATCTATTGCTTGGGCTTTGTGTCTCAAGGACTGGATTTCACCCTAAAAGAGGAATAGTTGGTGGATTTTTTAAAACCAAAACTATTACATCTGAGGGCTAACACTGTTAGCAAAGAACTTGCAGAAGCAGCGCTGCTAACAAGTCTCAACTAGTTATGAGAGCTGCTCAAATCACACAGCAGCCTCTGATTTAAAACAAAGCTGGTTATTTATAGTCATCAGCTTATGCCAGTGTGAATTTTCTTAGCTTTTTTAGAGAATGTTTTCAGAGGCCTCCCCACTGTACATGTAATTGTCTATTCTAGGCTGCATTTGGCTGGAGTAGAATGTCTATTTGAAAAGCATGGGATTCCCTGGTGGTTTGGAATTTAGTTATCCTACACCGTCCAGTGTTAATACAACCTTTCAAAATGATTGCTATGTAGTAAATCTGACTAAATCTGTGTCTTAATTGAACTTTTTTCTCATAATTTCTCTGTCCTACAGTCCGAATGTTACCAGCTTTTTTACCATTGGTAAAAAGATGGTAATTTACCTACATTAGGACTGTTGGCCAGAGGGAACAATGCCTCAACCAAAACAAAAACAGAAAATCCCTTAATCCACCACACCCACACCCTCCCAGCACCTCAAGCTGCACAGAGTAACTGTATCAGCAGGCCAGAGAGTTTTTGCAGTGGAGTCTTCATTGCATCCCTAGCTCTGCACCTGTCCTACTTGAGCTTCAGCCCATATCCCCTAACAGGCTAGCCAGCTACCTTAAGTGTGACTGGCAGAAACGTGTCTTTATCTCATGGTAGCTAACGGGCAATTACTATATTATTGTAAAAAGGCAGAGGAGAGGAGGCACTGTAAACTGTCGGGTGAACTAGGTAAGGTCAAGCCCGGGCTGGGATATAGTGCTGACCTCGCCTAGGTTCCTCGGGGTGAAGTACAAGGGCCTTCTGGCCATTTAGGGTTTTACTACGCGATCACTATCAGGCGTTATCGGGCTGTAAAACGCCTTTGGGTCTGTGCAGCGAAAGCGCTTAAAGCCCCCCTTGCCTGGACCTAGCACTCGCACTGCGGACAGAGTTTGGGTAGAAGCAGCACTGGCGTTGTCCTGCCTCAGGCTAATAAAGCCACGCAGCACGGCTGGGACTATCGCAGCCCCGCTTCCCGCCTGCGCAGCGCGGGGCAGGGTGACCAGCCAGGAAAAAGGCCTGACGGGGTGGGGCGTAATAGGCGCCCATATAAGACAAAGCCCCAAATATCAGCCTCTATAAAAAGCGACAATTCTACCTTACCCACCCCACGCCGCTGCTCGGAGCCCCTCGCTATCCCGCGCCCGGCCGGGCGAGTGACAGGGGCCAGCAGACACGGCCACGGCGCCGAACTACCCTGCCCCAGCCAACTGCCTAACGGTCCGGTCCTGCCGCCGCCTATGTCACTTGTTACCCAGCCCTGGAGGCCCCTGGATATTAGGGACGGGCGCCGCTATTTAAGCATTTACGATCTTGTTAAATATTCGTCGGACGAAGGGGAACGGGGATTATCACTGGGTGGCCGGGCTGTCATCAATCCCAGCGGCCATTCAGCTGCGGCGGGGGCGGAGCCGGCGAGGCACCGCCACTCTCTATGAAGGGGGAGCGTCACAGCCACGTTCCGCGACTGGAGAGCGGTGCGGCAGCGGGCAGGGCGCGGCAGCGATGGGGAACACTGTTGCTCGCGAGGACTTTGAGTGGGTTTACACGGACCAGCCCCACGCCGATCGCCGGAAGGAAATCCTAGGTGCGCGAGGGGCTGGGTTGCCCTGCAGGCGGCGCTGCTGTTTCCCCAGCCGGGGCACTGCCAGGGCCGGGGGCTAC